TTGTGTCTCTGACTGGTGAACTGAAAGAGAGATATGTGTGAATAAAAGTTTTAAATTCAGCTTTGACGCATGCCTAGTTCTTGCATTATGCGAAAATAATTTTCCAATTTTGAACAAATTTGGCACCATTTTACTTTGCAGGCAAAGTAAGCAAGAAGTCGAAGTTTTGTGGGGCTTCAACAACCATGTGAAAATCCGAATTTTCTAAATTATTTTTTATTTTCGCATGTGCCCCATGCACACGTGTCAAATGTTCGAACTGCAGCACTTTTTTTACCCTCCTTTCTTCGTAATTAGATAGCTAAAAACAGAAATTTTTCGAGACTACTAGGGCACCCTTTACGTGACTGAAAGTGTAAAATCAACTTTTATATACGCCTAGATCTTGCACACTGATAAAGCGAACTTAAGGGACTGTTTTGCCGGCATCACATTCACAAGCGATTTAGTGTAATCACACATGCTGGAAGTTAACATTACGTGTCGCTTCACGATGCAACACCAGCGTCCCATCCGACGCCTCATTTCTCTTTAAATGCAAAAAACGGCAAAAACATTACCAACATGAGAGCACATATTAAGCTGTAAAGCAAGAACTTCTCATTCTCTTAACGAACTGACTACTCCAAGATCAAGACGCGGCCCCCATACCGACTGTCGAGTGATCTTGGTATTTTTTATATGAAAAAGACTTTGACTTTTCAAATAAGCTAATTTCAGTATTGGGCGAACAACGTTTTCTTTATGAATGAATCGACTTGAGGCAAAAAGAAATTGGATTAAATCTTATAACACGAATCACTAATTATTCACTGAACCAAAGGCCTGAAGCATGCTTTTTCTTTTAGGTAAATTGAAAATTCGTAAGATCAAGATTTACGGTTCAGACTTAACTTGAGATAAATGTAACGGATCTACTATGTAGCATGCTCCAAAGTTAAAATTTTGAGACAAATTTGGGAAAAACGAGAATGATCATATGCTTTTTATTGTATCCCTAATTAGTAAATACAAAGGCAGTTTCCAGGGTCATTTTCGTAAGAACTTCTTCAGTTTGGCCTTACAGTGAATTTCGGATTTGAGTCTGTAAGTGTGTTTTAGGAGGCGTTGTTCTTGAGAAAATGCTAATTACTCGAGTTACTTTCAGCTGACCGGCAGTAAAATGTTGAAGGGACTTGGTTTTAATTCTGAAGTAGTAAAAAATACAACTGTCCTTTTATTGTGCGTTGCAATCTTTGGTCAGCATCCATCTACGGAGCCTAATCATGGAAGTGCGAAAATGACGGTGAACCAGAGAACATAAATTCATTTTGTAGATAGTGCGTCTCAATTAGTGGTTCTTTTTTCCCAAGGAGTTTTCTGGAAATTTTCAAAAACTAGCCATTGTTAGACCTTAAAAGTGGGCGACTGCTCTGGCAGTTGATTCAGATCTTGAACAACAAAGAAGCTTCGTTCTCTATTTGAGGCAAAAAACTTTTCTGAGAGTGATATTCATATTTTTGCGGATTCTAAAATTCATAATATTCTAATTCTTTAATCACTCTGTTTTCTTGAACATGAGACTATGTTACTTTTATTCCGAATTTTTAACTTATACTATTTTCTGGGTACAGTGAATTGACTGGGAAAGAATTCCTGCAATCGCAATTTCGTGGGTATAGAAATGGTTGAAAAAGCCCTTTCAGCTGCGGTTTCTTGGACATCGAGTCAGGTTGTTGTGAATACTGGACTCTCCCAGAATTTGACATTTATAAGTCCGGTTAATGCACACTTGCAAATGTTGAATTTTTGCAACTTTGGTGTAATAACAAGATATTTTTGAATTCAGTGATCTTATTCTGATTAGCTGCTATCAATTGCATCACCCTCACAACTTTTCTCGTGTGTGTTTTTGACTAATATTTTTTCTCTCAAATTTTGGCTAATCAAAGCTGTCGAGAGCGCCTGGACAATCGGTGTGGAAATCAGCCCGCTGTTAGTGATTTTATTGGGATCCATTCGCGTACGAACATTCATACCAGTCATTTCCTTTGAACTTGTTTAAGATTACCAGGATTTCCTGAGCACTCAGTGTAAAGGTTCGATGTTAGTGATCCTACTGAAATGCATTCCAAATACCAGATCAGCAAGGTGTTTTATGGCTACCAGGATCACCCGGACAATTGGTATTGGATTTGATGTTAATAATGCTGCCGGAGGATGAATTTGAGCATTAGGTCCGGTATGTCGCCCCAGCCTAACAAGGAACTACTAGGATTTCCCGAAAAATCGGTGCGGGAATCAGATAATAATGATGTTATTGGGGCAAAAATATACACGCTGGGAACGGTTGTGCCCAGACAGGCCTTTCGAGTCTAAATTGGTAATAGTAGTGTTTCTCGGGTGCATTCAGGTACATACTATTGTCATGCTCGCCAGACCTTTTTGGCCTAAGACGATTAAGATTGATAAGCAAAAGCGGTCGTGAAAATCTTCCCGTTGTTCTCGATTCCGTCCTGTCCATCAATTCCGACCAGAAAATCAGTCCAGGAATTTGTTGTG